TGAATGTTTTGACCTAATATTTTCAGTGTTGCGAAATGCACTTATTTGACTTCTTTTGTCTTCGAACTTCAGAAAAAGATTGAACTTTTCTCTGTGAACATGAACGTGGATAACGTCTTGCATAAACTCATTCCAGCTTTGTTACTGCTTTACTTCTCGTTTATTGAGCTAGTCATACAATAAATACCAAAAAAGAAGAAGAAAACATTTGCGTTTTGAAGAAATCGGACAACCACTCTTTGCTTCATATCCACCACCACCAGGGGATCCCCTCTGTGGAATTTGTTCTTATATGAAGTTGGGAATAATTTGTTGGTTGAATAATAGATCCTTAATTGAAGCTTTTCAATAGGAGTATAAGACTGATTCTAATGAAAGGTACCTACCAAATCTGTGCCCGTCGAAGTTTTCTGGAAGTTCGAGAGATTCTGCAGAATCTCTTTCATGCGATGAGAAGTTCCTTGAATGGTCAGCTGCAATGCAGAAATACCAAAGCAGATTGGAAAAAAATTATTCTAATAATGTTACCCGAACAAGGGCGATCTAGCGGTAATTCATCAGACTTATTAAAGTGTCCAATTTGCGACGAGAAGTTTGCGAAGTATTCGGCTGTAAGCATACACATAAAAGTATATCCAATACTGAAGGAAAGGTTGATGTGAGGCACCCTCGATGGAACTTGCAGAATCTCCAGAGCTACGAGAGAACTTCCATGGACGTGTGGCTGTAATTACGAACATAAGATCTAATATAGGTACAGATAAGTTATACTGGGCAAAACGCTAACTTTCAACTGTTTCCAAGCTTAGGAACAGAGATATAAGAATTACAGCGCAAAGTGGAATTTGCATGGTCAGATGTCCCTAATAACAATAACAACTCTACGTGCTCCTGAAGAGCTGTTCTGCAATAGTGTAGCTGAATCTACCCCCTTAATGATCTATTTATGAAGAACATTCCGTAGTAATCTCTGAACTAATCACTTCTTCGCAATTCTAGATAATCACCCTTATTTCAAACGTATATCCCGCAAATTAAGAATATCGCATTCAAAAATATCAAGTGCTTGGGTCCTTTGTCGGGCTGAGCATTATCCAATAGTACAAAAGTTCGAATCATTGGCTTTGGTTGACGGTGAAAAAGGTTCTCCTATGTGGGGTCCTCCATCTTCCAAAATTATCTAGCATAGCTCTAATTAGGTAAATCATAAAGGTGTTGAAAAAAATTATCAATTTTTGATAGTTGGCCTATATTCACCTTGTATTTGTCCATT